GGAAGGCTGCATGGAGGTGTTACCTGAACTGAACCTTGAAGGAAGACAAGGCTTCTGGAAGGAGTACATTCAAAGCATGGAGGACAGCTTATGCCAATGCATGGAGGTGGAAGATGGAATGTTGAGGTCTGGGAAAAGTTCGTTGTTTAGGGGAGGAATATGAAATATGGCAGGAAAGGTAGATGCAAGTCAGGTTTGGGGGGGCTTTATATTTTATGCCATTGAGAGGACCCAGGAGATTTTTTGTTTTATTTTATTTTATTTATAACTAACTTTTTTTAAGGCAATTGGGGTTAAGTGACTTGCTCAGGGTCACACAGCTAGTGTCAAGTGTTTGGTCTGAGTCTGGATTTGAACTCAGGTCCTCCTGATTTCAGAGCTGGTGTTCTATCCACTGCGCCACCTAGCTGCCCCTATTTTATTTTTTAAACAGGTGACATGTATGCCTTAGGAAGATTATTTTTGACAGCTATTGGGATGCTGGCTTGGTGAACAGAGAGACTAGAAGCAAGAATATCTTGCCTATTGCAATAGAAGAGGTGAGAGGAGATGAGGCCCTAAACTAGGATAGTGGCAGAAATTGGGAATTTTATAGGAGTGGTAAGTTTAGTGGGAGGCGATCATGTTTTAGACATGTTGAGTTTGAGGTGCTGGTGTGATTTCGGGGAGGAGATATCTAACAGGCAGCTGATGTTGCATAGCTGGAGTTAGATTTGCAGCTCTGGGAATTATCCATGTACAGGTGATACCTGAACTTGTGGGAGCTAATGAGATCTATGAGGAAAAGCGCTTACAGAAAGAAGAGAGGAGGAACAGGGACAGAACCCTGGCAGACACCTATACTCAGGGTCTAGGAGATGGATTAAGATTCTGTGAAAGAAGACCAAGAAGGAACAAGTCGACTGTCAAAAACCTGGGTTACCCTCATGAATTTTTTCCTGAAGAGTTTGAGTATAGGGTCATTTGCTTCATATTAATACTAGCTGTGCCATAAGAAATGATGAGTATGAGAAATTCAGAGTGTTTGGAAAAAATATGAATAGTGTACTCTGGATTTTAGGCACAGATGTGCCAGAAACAATTTTTTAAAAACTGATCATTCTTCTAAATTGAAGGAATCCAAGAGTTTTCAAGTGTGTGTGTGTGTGTGTGTGTGTGTGTGTGTGTGTGAGAAAGAGAGAGAGAAAAGAGAGATGCCCAAGCCAGTAGTCTTCTCATCCCCTCAGATGCCTCTACCATTAAACATTTTTTAGTAGGATCAAATGAGATAATATCTGTAAAGCACTTGGCATGGTGCCTGGCACATAGCAGATATTATTGTTAGCTATTATTATTGTTATTATTATGAACATTTATAGGAATAGACAAGAAAAATGTCACAATATGATAAAAAAAACAGTTTTGGGTTAAGACTCTACTCCATCTAATTGAACAATAGTCACTAGATCTTTCTGGAGAATCACCTTCTAAAACCACTCATCTCTCTTTGACCATTCCCCTTAAGGGATCTCCTGTCAATACCATGAGGATACTTTCACAATGGGAAAAAAGGGTCCTGCCCTTGGGTGGATCTCAATTGTCATCCTTTCTGGGGATGGGGAAGGCAAAGATCTTAACTAAACAAGAGGAATTTCTTGGTTGAAGTTTGCTTACCACCCTTAACCCCATTTCCCAGGGCCTTAGCTTTCATTCTTGACCTTTTACATACTTTCCTAAAAGAAGAGTTAGGCCTAAGTAAGGGAAAGCAAGAATAATCCAGAAAAGGACTTTAGACTAGAGAAATATTTATTTCTTAATATTTTCAGTTGAATTAAAAGGGAGATTTTGAATATGCTTCCACAAGAGAAACATGAGAAGACTTGTATTAACTGAAGCAGAGTGAGAAAAGTAAGTAGAACCAGAAAAATATATGTAATCACTACAATAACATGAAAGAAAACAATGCTAAAAGACAACCAAATTGATTAACCTTAATGACCAAGCTCAGTTGCAGAGAACTGATGATGAAATATATTTCCCCCCTTCTTCCCCGACTCCCCCTGCACAGAGGGTAGGGGACTAATAGATGTAGAATGTTGTATACAACATGGTCAGTTGTGTCCCCAGATTTTTAAAAATATTTTTCCTTCTTAGAAGAAGGTGGGGCTAATGGGGGAAATAGTTTAAGGAGAAATTACTATGGAAGAAAAACAAAAAGCAACAGAAAAAATTGAAAATATTAATGGCTCATCTCCATATAATACTTTTAAAAGCACTTTTCTCACAACAAACCTGTGAGATGAAAATGGGGATTAATGTGAAGTCTCGTACTTGGGTTCAAAAATAAACTTGCATTAGTACAAGATAGGGGAGACATTCAGTACAATTCATCAAGCACTTGCTACATTGTAGACACTGGGGGCACAAAAATAAAAACGAAACCGTCCTTGTCCTCAGAGAGCTTACATTAAAATGGAGTGACTAGACAACAGTGTGAAATGGATCTGGGGTTGAGGTGGAGCCAAGATGGCAGAGCAGCAAGAAGAGGCACAGGGAGCTCGCCCATCTCTCCAAACATATCTAGAAAACACATCAGATTAAATCCTTATAAAGAAATCCAAGAAAAAAAATCACAGTGAGTCATTTTTCCAGCCCAAGTCAGCACAGAGGGACAGAAAGAAGTTTATTGACACAGGATCTGACCAGAAGCATTCCAGGGAAGGGCGAAAATGTATAACAGAAGAGTATCAGACCCAGCGCAAAGGGACTTTGTTCAGGAACAGAGCCAAGAGGCAATTCAGTCTCCTACTACCCAGTTTCAAGTCACAGATCCAGGGTGAAATGAGGAGGGGACCTGAGCCTAGGGGAGATGTTTCAGGGTGAAGAGTGGTTGCCAACCATAGGCCAGGTACCAGGCAAGTAGGAAGTTTAGATGTAAACAGTAGTTCCAACCTACAGACCAGTCTGAAGGCTGCAACTAAATAACCTGGGTGGAAACCCCAGACCAAAGGGAAGCCTGTAGTTCTGATACTGAACCAGCAGAGCTTTCCAGCTGGTTGATAGTTGGGCAGTCCAGCAGCAGTAGTCTACAGAAACTCCAAAGACAGTGGGTCAAAAATCTTGTTTATCAGACCCAGACCCACAAAACTTTCAGAGCTCAGACCAGAGGAGCCAGTGATCAGACACTGTCCTGCATTAGACCACTTTGAAAGCACTGAAGACTTGAAGGTCTCCAAATCGAGCTGTACATTAGATCCTCAATTAACACAATACTCAGGATCTCAAGAAGGCAAAATCAAGACCAGCTCGAATTCTCTCAAGAAGTGCTGAGAGTGGCCTTAACCAACAAAACAAAACAAAATAAACAAAAAAAATGACCTCAGGGAGTAGACTGGAAGAATGATCCAACCCAAAAAAAGAATCCCACCATAAAAAGCTATTATGGTGACAGGTTTGCTCAAGAACCAAACAGAGAAGAGAATGACTCCAAAACATCTGTAAGCAAAGCCTCAAAGAAAAACATAGCTTGGGCACAAGCTTAACTAGAATTCCTAGAGGAGATGAAGCCCAGAGAGGATGTGACTTGCCCATAGTCAAACAGCTACTACAAATCAAACCCAAGTTCTTCCCACTCCTAATCAAGTACTGTTGCCACTATCCCTCCAGCCACTAATCTTCCCAACCAATTACACAGAAGGAGCTGATTCATTCTCTGTGAGGAAGTTCCAGAATTCCTCAAGTCAAATTCCCTCAAACCACTGCAAGCTCCCTTTGCTCTCAGGTGGCAGACCCTCAGTCCAGAAGCATTACTTTAGCAAGAATTTAATAGTCGTATATAATATAATAGCTTTAAGGTTTGCAAATATTATCACATTTTAATCTCACAACAACCCTGGGAGGTAAGTGCTGTTATTATTCAAGTTTTACAGTAATTGAGGAAACAGGAGGAGAGAACTGAAGTGATTTGCCCAAGGTCATACAGAGGATGAGATGGATTGATAATGTCTTGGAAACAACGAACACGAACTTGGACAGACTTTATGGTCCATGGGGTGGGTCACCAAGAGGCAGACACAACTGAACAACACACAACTAGTGTCTGAAGCAGGATTTGAATTTAGGTTCACCTTACTCCCTAAGAAATCCTCTCTATGTTTCAGGCCTCCCTTTCCTTCTACAACTCTGCTCAGGAAGCAGCCCCCTCAGTTCCTAGCCGCCACCACCCCCAGCCTCAATGCAGTTGGTCCTGGCCCCCGCAAATTTCTTTCCCCTCTGGTTGCCCGGAGGAGTAGCTAACCTCTCCTCAGCCCCCTCCCCTCTTCTGCTCCCTCCTTGGAAGGCAGCCACCCCTCCCCCCTCAGTTCTTCTCCCGAGGCTGTCCACGCACGCCCCCTCGGCTAAGCGGAGCCCCCTCCTCCCCTTCTATTGCTAACTTCAGCTCCTTCCTCTCCTGCTGTCCTGAGGCACAGTCCCCTTCAGTTACCACCCCTCGCTAGGTATGATTCCGCCCCTTCTGGGTCCCCGCAGTCCCCTTTCCTCCTCTGCCCTCTTGGCTTGGCGGGGAAGGGTCCAGGGCGCCCCTTCTCTTTCCCCTTCCACCCTCTCTCCCCCGCCCCCGTGCTCGGGGTGGGCAGGGTCCAGGTCTCGCGGTGGGGGTGGGACGGGGACGGGGGCGAGGGCGGGGGCTGGAGGCGGGGCGGCCGCTGCAGGTGAGCGGGCGGGGGAGGGAGGGATCTTGCGGCGGCCGCGGAGCAGCGGACGCCCCCTCCCCCCTTCCCGCCCGCCCCTCCCTCGCTCCTCCCGCCCCTCCCGCCCCTCCTGCCCCTCCCTCCCTTTCCGCCGCCGAGAGGAGGCGGCGCCCGAGCGCCAGGAGCCCCGGGAGCCCGAGGAGGCGGCAACGGCGGCGGCGGCCTCGCGGCATCGGCGGCGGCGGCTCCGGGTCCCTCCGCCCAGGCCGGGCCGGGCCCGCGATGCAGCCGGTGTGGCCCCGTTGAGGGAGGCCCGCCGCCCGGGGAGCCAGCATGCGGAGCGGCGAGGAGCTGGACGGCTTCGAGGGCGAGGCCTCGAGCACCTCCATGATCTCGGGGGCCAGCAGCCCCTACCAGCCCACCACGGAGCCCGTGAGCCAGCGCCGCGGGCTGGGCGGCCTCCGCTGCCACCCCGACTACCTGCGCCGCGCCCCGGGCCGCCTCAAGCTGGCCCAAGTGGTAGGTGCCGCTCTGGGGGGCCCAGGAGCCCGGAGACCCCCACCCCGCAACCCCCACCCCGAGCCAGCGCTGCCCTGCGGCCCCAGGGGTCCCCCCAGCCAGCGCTGCTCCGCGACCCCGGGGATCCCCCCAGAGCCGGAGGGAGTCCCTCCGACCCAGGAGGATCCCCCCAGCCAGCCCTGCCCCCAAGCCAAGGGGTTCCCCTCCCCCTAGCCCTGCAACCCCCTACCCCCCAGTCCCGCACAAGTCAAGGGGTCTCCTCAATCCTGTCGATATCCCTGCCTGAGGCAAAGGGTCCCCCTCCCTGCACTGTCCGGGCCAAAGTTCTCCCCCCGCCCCACGCCTCAGCTAGTCAGGGGATTCCCCCCCAAACAAGGGAGTACCACCCCCGTGCCCCTGCAAGGGGTCCCCATTGTGGTCAAATGGTGTTCTCCCATTCCAGTTCTTCTTTTCTCTCCCTAGACATCGGTTTTCGCTTTCTCGCCACAGCAGACTCCCCTAAGGTCTCCCTCCCCACTCCCCAGGAATAATTTCCCCCTCCCACGCCCCAGACGTGGGTTTTTCCTTTCCTTGTGGTCCCTCTAGGTCTTGTTGTCTTCCCCTTCAAAGCAACTGGGTCTTCTTTCTTCAGGTTACTTCCACGAGCTTGTGTGTTGTGCTTGGCTCTCCCCTTCCCGCGCCCCCCCCCCCCATGGGCCCCATCTTCCTTTCATTCTTCCTCAGGTGCTGATTCCTGACTCTTTCCCATTCCCAGTGCCCATCACCTGGTGTCACAAATAAGGAAATGGAGACCTAGCCAGGTGAAATGACCGGTCCAAAGCCACACTGTGAATTGTTGGCAGAACTGGATGTCCTGACTTTTCACTATTATGATAGCTTCTTTAGCCCTGGTACCTGTGACTTTTCGTTTGGGATAGCTCCTAAAAAGACTCTTAACTGGTGGTGCCTTTTGTACTTTCTTCTTCACATCTGGGTCCAGGCAGGGCACACCCAGTCCTCCTCCTCCTCCTTGTCCTTCTCCTTCTTCTCCTCCTTCTCCTTCCAGTGGGCACCAGTCCCACCCTGCCTTCTCTAGGCCTGTTCTGTTCTTTTCTTTTTCACAAGAAGTTTCAAAACAACCTGAAGTTGAGTAGCTGGGCTTAAGAGCAACCTTTTCCTTGGCTATTCTGTGCCTCTCTGCCTGGTTCCCAGGTCTGTTCTTCCTCATGCTTCCACAACAGATACTACTCTTACTGACAGCAGGGATCAGTTTTCAGCTGCAGTTTTCATCTGCGTTTTAAGCCCTCTTCCTTCCCACTCATTAACAGTCTACAGGGTTGGACTTCAGCTCAGTCTGTGAAGTAAACACCCAGTAAAGGAAGCTTATTTTTCTTTTAGTCTCCTCCTAGGCACAAACATATCTTTCTTCACTGGCTTGCTTCTCCTCAGTTTGGTTTTTTCTTCCATTTCCAAGCCCTGCCCGTTTTCCCTCCCAGGTGCCAGTTTCTAACTGGCTCATGGACTGTCCAAATCCTGTACTTAATGGCATGATTTTGATCAAGCTCTACTTTCTGTTCCAGCAAGCCTTCCTAGCCCATAACAGCACTTCTCTTACCTTGAATTTCTATACCCTTGAGTTGTTGTTCAGTTGTTTTGTGCATTTACTGGAAAAGTAGCTGTGGTGTAATGGAAAGAGCCCTGAATTTGGCATCTAGTTTGAATCCTGGTTCTATTGCTTACCTGTGTGGCCTTGGTCTAGACATGCCCTTCTCTGTGCCTCAGTTTCCTCATCTGAAAAATGAGAGGACTGGGGAATCTCTTAAAGTTCTCTCCCCCCCCCCAATCCTGTGACAGTAATGGCTGTTTGTGGTAGTGACAAAGAATCTGTTTTCAGTATAGGATACTTAACTATACCTAGTGGTTTTTCTAAGTGTTGAACTCCTTGTGCTTTACAGAGGACACAGCCATTCCTTGGGAATAATACAATTTGTCAGCACCTTTAAATAAAGATCTCAGGATTGTAGATAGCATATTGTAGATAGCACAGTTACAGAATAAGGGTTATCTCCTTTGTGTGGGGGAAAAGAAAACCAACTCATTCTCCTGAGTCTTGCAGAAATATTTGAAAGGCTTTAAAGGAAGAAAGTGGGGCTGCCTTTGAATTTAAGATAGACTTTATCTGGTAAAGGTTGTAATGTTTACCAAGAGTTATCAGGTCTCTTTGCTTGTGTATATATTATCATTGATGAGCTTGGATTGGGAAGAGGGAAGGAAGATAGGGATGCATTTTTTTTTGAAAGGACTTAAATTAGTATTAGTTGTGTAAGCAGAAGTTAATAAAGTAACCCAGAACTTGGGTCACTTGGGCAGTTGGAATACATGAGCAATATTAAATGAATTGAATTATTTGCCCTGTGGATTTTTGCAAATAAATAAGAGACTGCAATTGGGAAACTTGAATTGGTCATCTTAAATAGCTTTTTTAAAGTGATGCCATCATTACCTTATTCCTGAGTTCTTTAGCAGTAATTAATTTTAAAAATCTACTCAAGACTAGAAATTGAAGCTAATAGTATTTATTATTGCCTTTTGGTAAGGTGATGTTGGACCATGTCAGGAGGTGTGTCAGAGATGTGTTTTGTTTTGGCCATAGACAATAACACTCTCTGACATGCAACTTTATAGTTATTTGTCTGTTCTCTGGAGTGGGGACACAGGGTAGTAAGGATGACAGGATAGAAGGGACAGAGGCAATTAGGTTTAGAGATCTCAGGCTTCACTTGATAAATTCTATTTAACAAACAACTGTTGGATAGTGACAAGAACATAGAATCTGGAGTAAGAAGACCTGGGTTTGAATCTTGGCTCTGTATGACCTTGTCATGTTATTTTCCTTTTCTGGGCCTGAGCTTCTTCCTATGGAAAAAGAAGATATTGAACTAGATACTGCCTCAAGTTCCTCCAGTCTCTAAGTCCTGTGCTTTTATGAATACTTAAATGCTTATTATATTCAAGATACCTTATTGTGCCCTGAGAATCATTCTTGCTTTGTTTCTTACTAGCTATGTGACTTTGGGTAATTCAATTAACCACTCTGGGGCCTCAGTTTTATCATTTGTAAGTTGAGGGGATTGGATTAGATAACCTCTAAATATTTGATCCTATGAATATAAAGTAAGACAGTTCTTTCACACCAGCAGCTTACCTTCTTGGGGGCATAAAAGGATAGGGCTCTAGTTTATTTTATTTTTTCCTCTAAAGACAACTCATAGGTTCTAAAAAAAAAAATAGCATTGTTGGTTAAAGTTAGGGTAAGCAGTAGCCAGGTGGCACAATAGACAGAGTGCTGGACTTGAAATAGGAAAGCCTAAGTTCAAATCCAGCTTTAGATACTCACTAGTTCTGTGACCCAGGGCGAGTCATTTAACCTCTGTCTGCCTCTGGTTTCTTATCTGGAAAATGGAAATAATTGTAGCATCTATATCCTGGGGTTGTTTAATGAGCTAATATTTGTAAGCACTTTGCAGCCCTTAAAGCAGTATAGAAATGCTAGTCATTATTGTTGTTGTTATGTAATATAATAGAGATTAAAATGTACCAAGTTAAAAAGAAAGGTCTAGAAAAATACTGTGAGGCTAGATAGGAGAAAGATGACTTGAAGCTGAGGAATATGGGAAATCTTTCTGGAGGAGGTGGCATTCAAGCCAGGCCTTGAAGAGACCACATTGGGCAGGGAGTTAATGCCAGGTGTAGGTGATGGCATGGATGGGAGAGGCAAGAGAGGATAGAATGGAGAACAATTATTAATAGGTTTCCTGGGGATGAAAGTGTGAAGGGCAATAGTCAGCGATAGGCCGAAAAGGTAAGTGAGGTGGAAGCCAAACTGTGGAGAACCTTGAATGCTTTTGGAAAAAACAAACTCTACATAAAGATAGTTAAAACTCAATCACATCATCACAGAATGGTGATGATAACTCTTCATTGTATAGTATTTCTAACCTTTTTAGAGAGGTCTTATAAACTGGTCAAAACAAGCTATTCACTCTCTTCAGATCATATACTTCATATCGGTAGCCTCATTAGTCCTTCTTAGCTGCTGAAGAAGGATTAGGTATGATGTTGGCATCTAACAGTCATCTTGTTAATACCAACAAACACATGTTCGAGGATTAAGGGCAAAAACAAGAAACCAACAAGTGTATTTTGGACTGTTTTTAAAACAGAGCACTGGAAGGAAAGAGGAAGCAAATTTATTTTGTGATCCCCCAAAAACTAGGGAGAAAAGCTGTAAAGGATAGCAAGATTTGGCTCAATGAGAGAGAAAGAGAGAGAGAGAGACAGAGACAGAGAGACAGAGAGTGAGAGACAGACAGAGACAGACAGAAGGGAGAGAAGGAGGGAGGGAGATAGAGGTTGAGATTGATTTCTAGCAGTTGGTGGTTTGTGCACTTGGAGTAGGTTTCCAGTCAAGAGAGAGGACATTGCCGTCACTTCCAGGTTCCTTACTGGAAGGCTCCCCAAAGAGGAGTGGATGACCCCTGGTGGGGGAATGCCCTAGAGGGGAGACACAGTGCAGCCAAGGGTTAGATTAGACAGCCTTTGAGGTCCCTTACAAATCTAAGGCTGTTGCACTGCCAAGCTTGATGGAAGGTGGGGGCCCCTCAGCCCCCCACCCCTACCCACTTTGGAAAGGGTTTTTGAATACTCTGCTGTTTGGGATCTTTCCATTTTAGCTCTGTAAGAGACAATGAAACAACTCCCACCCTAATTTACCCAGGCACTGGGGATACAAACAAATACAGTTCTACTAGGGATATAACATATCCACAGCTAAATAAAAGTAGGATAATTAAAAAAACAGAAACAATAATTATTGGTATGTGGGGAGAGGGGGATCCTTATACTAAGGGAAATAGGAAAAGCCAAGGCTTAGCACGAATACTACTGAAGGTTGATATGAAGAGGGAAGTATTCTAGGCATGGGGGAGGGGCTGTCCATGCAAAGGCTTGGATGCCTGGCT